GGCGCTGTCTCTATGGAGCTCAATGTACTGCAATGGCTGTGAGAGCGGGAGCCAGACCAAATTTTAAAATTCTTAAAAGAAAGAAAGAAATTCTGAAAACTTAATGGCTCGTTTAGTCGGATGGCTTGTTAACTTTCATCTTGACTCATTCAAATTGCTCAAATATTTATACCCAGATTTATTCTCTCTCCATCTTTCAATTCAGTTTTCTCTATTTTGGCTTTATTTTCAAGATGTCCCAAATGGCAGCACAGAAGTGCACTTATAACTCTAGGCTTGCATTTTACCAATTTATCAATACCAGCAGAAAAAAAGCACTTCTTTTCAAATCGTGCCAGCAAAACCTCAGGTGGGGGCCAGCTCCGTGGAGCAGCAGTAACACACTATCAAGAGAAGCCAGATCCATCATGGTGACTGAGGTTCGAAACCCCAGCCAATAGCCTGAAACACACCTGGCACATACATGGGTGCCCAATATCTGACAGGTTGGAGGACTGGAGGAAGGGGATTGGAGCACAAGCAGACCCTGTGAGAGGTGCTTGTCTCTTTTGCTCTTTCTCCCTCTCACACTCACGTGCATTTGCACACACTCTCTATCATGAATAAAGAAAAGACCCCAGGTGGAATGGGTCCAGCTTGACTTACATGCCCTTCTCCGAATTCCACTGACATCAAAGACAAACAGCTCTCTGATGGGCTGGGCCCAGGCCAGAGACCCTGCCTTTAGACCAAAAGGAAGCATTAAAATTCTCGTAGTAAGGATAAGGGGAAGACTGGCTGCCCCAAAGAAAATTAAGATGCTGCTGCTGAAACGTGGCAATCAAGGGGCCGGCCAGTGGCGGAGCAATAGTGCAATGTTCTGCAAGGCTGACCCACACGAGAAGGTCCCAGGTTCATACTGGGAGACCTCGCTGAACACAGTGGGTACCGTCATGCTCAGGATCCAGGCTGGCTGAGGTTGAGGGTGGATGCAGAGTACACACTTCGCTGGGGATGCTGTCTCTCTGATTCTGTCCCTCTCGCTCATAGAGGAAAGAAACTTAGGAAAATTACGGCATGGCGGAAACAGCAGATGGTGTAATGGTTACATTGCTGGATTCCCACATAGTTGATCATAGTTCAAGTCCTGGACCTAGCAGCTTAAAATTCACACTGGGCGCATGTGCATATGTGCCCAAAATCCTGAGAGGAGAATAGAAGAGAAGGGGTTGTGGTGCGGCCATCCTCCCCAGGGGGTGATTTCTCGCTTCCTGTTTCTGCCTCTCCAGGGAGTGCATGTGTGCTATAGCAAAAATACGGCAGTCAAACCAACAGATTCATTTATAAGCATTCTTTCGAATGAAGAAAGCCATCAATACACACATACCTGCAGAAAAAGATATATCCGGAAATGTTAGTGAAATAGTGGGATGTAATCAGTGTCAATCTCAACAAGCTATTTTCCTGTTCTCTTTTCTCACAGCAAAGTCCTTGAGCCTTATGCATCCAGAAAGCCTCTGACAAGCTTTTATTCTGTGCCTGGTGCTGTGCTAGAAGCTGAGGACAGGGAGAGAACCAGACCCTCCAGGAACCCATGGCCTGATGTCTGGCTGAAAGTCGAAACATGCTGCAATTTCATTGCCTTTCTTTCCGACAAGGATTTCTGTATTTTGTCATTCTCTTCAAGTAAAGTTTGGACTGGCTCCTTTGTCTTTGAAGGCTGAGAGCTCGGTCTCCAAGCTCCTTTGACTGGAAGGCATATTATGAAATGGGATGTACCATCAGCAAGGAGGTAAGAAACCTGAACTGTGTGGCCTCACATAAACCCCACCAAGCCTCTGTCCTGGACTCCTTCCCCCTCAACAGGTGTAAGGACAAAAGGCCCATTGTCCTTAGGAGCCTATAGGACAAATAGAAAGAACATGTCCTTGCTGGTTAATCTGCCGGTGATAAAGAGTATTGTTTTATCTCCTGCCATCTCAGGGTTCCAAGGGATGAAGTCTGTTGTGACACAGAGTTCGCTTTGTCTTTCCAACCCATTGAGACGTTTAAATTGACCTTTCATATATTCCTTGGTTGTCACAACCTGCCAGCACTGAGTGGTTATTATGCATTGAAGGATTAGGTCTCCTTTTTCTCCCCAAGGGACCCCATCATCTACAGAGATGCTATGATGCTAAGAACAGTACACCTCTTTTTTGAACTTTTTTAAAAATTAAGACTTTTTTAAAAACATTTATAGGTTTACACAAAAATTGGGAGGAAGTTGCAGAGCTCTTATCTCTTCCTCACTTCTCCCACGCTGAGCTTTCCAATTACTAAGATCTTGCATTAGTGTGCTACGTCTGTTGTAATTGGAGCTAATATCAATACATTTCTATTTTCTTTTTTTCCTTCTTTTTGCTACTAGAGGGTGTGTGCATTCACCAGAGACACAGAGACAAGGAAGGGAGGGAGAAGAGAAAGCACCCACCAGGGGGCATGGTCACATTGCAATTCTTTCTTTTCCATCCTTCCCTCCTTTAGGGATTTTGGGCACACACATACATGCACCTGGTGTGTTTTCAAACTGCCGGTCAGCCCTGTAGAACCCAGCTGCATTAAACATCAGGCCATGGGGCTAGCCCTCAGAACATTATTATTAACTACTGTTCATAGTTTGCATAGGGTTCACTCTTCCCATGGTACATTCTTTGGGTTTTTGCAAATATATGACGACACCTATTCGCCATTACAGAATGACATGGACGAGTTTCAATGCTTTAAAAATCCCCTGTGCCTACGTATTCATCCCTCCCATTCTCCTAGCCCCTGACAACCCATGATCCTTTTACTGTCTCCATAGGTTTGCCTTTTTCAGAATGGACTATCACTGGAATCACAGTACAGAGCCTTTCCAGGCTGACTCTTTCACATAGCAATATGCATTTTAACTTCCTCCATGTCATTTTATGTGGTTTAATAGTTCAATTCTTTTTTATTGCTGAATAGCTTCTGCTTCATTTTTAAAGCTTTTAGTGAAGAAAGCAATATGCTTGTCCCCATTTCCTTCTTCCTTGGTATTTTCCTAATTAAGAGAGATTACCTACATTTTAAAAAGTGGCTTACTGTATGTGTTAGGTGAAAGAATTAAATGGCATTTCAGTTCAAGTGCCTTTTGTAAGGCTGGGGAAATAAAGAGCAAATTCTAATATCTCAATCACAGCCAAACTGGAGAAGGTCTGTTAGGGCTGCAGGCAACACTGGTGTTCTTGGCAGTTTCACCCAGGAAAATTTATATTCATATAATTAATGTTTTTCCTAACATAAATGATCTCCGAACTTTTTTTTTTCTCCCTAGCAGCACTGGAGGTCCCACTTACCTGGTTAATAATAACACTCAATTTTAATACATGAATCAAACATTTTTCTTTATGTACATTTCTGAAACAAAACCCATTTAGTCCTTGAGAAGAACAGTATAGTTAGTAGAGAAGTCTCCATTCACTTGTTTTATAATGTGGGAGACAAGGATATCTGATAGTTGCAAAAGGTTCCGGTTTTAGGATTCCAGGGAGTGAGATTAGTGTCCCTGCCACATCCCTTACTCCAGATCCTCATTAGAGTTAGCTCTTAGGGCTAGCCAGTTAAGGAGGCTGGATCCTACATGACTGACTACTCAATTTGAGTCCCTGACCTGGCGTCTTAGGAAGCATGTTGCTGTGTGTGTCTGTATCCAAAATCCTGAAAGGAGGGAGCAATGGAGCAGAGGAGATTGCAGCATGACCATCCCCTAGGGGGGCAGGGATAGGTGGAGGATGCTTTCTTGTTTTCCTCTCTCTTTCTCTGTCTTTCTCTGGTGAGTGACCATGCCTTCTGGCAAATCGAAAAGAAGCTTAAAAAAGGGACCAGCAGTTAGTGTAATAGGCTATGTCACTGAACTCCCATCTAGTCGACCGCAGTTCGAGTCCCGGTGGCTTAAACTCATGTCGGGTGCGTGTGCGTGCATGCCCAAGATCCCGAGAGGAGAATGGAGGAGAAGAGACTACGGCGTGGCCATCTCCCCCAAGGGGTGATTTCTTGCTTTCTGTTTCTCTGTCTCTCTCTGTCTTTTTTGGAGAGCGCACACGCCCTATAGCAAAAACCTCTCAAAAAAAAAGAAAAAGCTTAAGAAAAGAGAGTTTGGTTTGGGAACCAGCAGTTAGCGTAATGGCTATGGCGCTGGACTCCCACGTAGTCGACCGCGATTCGCGTCCTGGACCCGGTGGCTTAGAACTCACGCCTGGCACGTGTGCGTGCGTGCCCAAGATCCTGAGAGGAGAATGGAGGAGAAGGGATTGTGGCGTGACCATCCCCCCTGGGGGGTGATTTCTCGCTTTCTGTCTCTATGTCTCTCTCTGTCTGTCTGACGAGCGCACACACCCTATAGCAAAAAACTCTCCAAAAAAAAAAAAAAGTTTGGTTTTAAAATGTTAATAAAGAGGGTTCTTCCAGAAATCATTTCTTCTCAGACTCAGTGCAGTCTTTTGTATGATAACCAGACCTAGTTTCTACCTTGTAAGACTACTATGAAAGTAGAAGAAAACAATTCATAGAGCGCATTAAGCAGTCTTGACAATAAAAACAAACAAACAAACAACAACAAAAAAGAACCAAAAAACACTTCCTTCAACATTATGCAAGCCATACAGGGCACTTGCTTGGGTATAAAAGAAATGCTGAGTACAGTGTAGGTGCTCATTAAATTAAATCCTGACTGATCAAGGGGGCAAAGGGAGGGTAAATCCTATCACATGTGGGCTCTTAGAGAACACAGACATATACAAGGAGGCCAACTTAATTGGGGTCAAGCATGACGGAGGAGATTAGGTTTCATGTGCAATCTTACGGAACCACAGACATCACTCCTTTTACCTTTGGGCTCTGCCCCTGTGAAGGTGGGGCCAATGCTATTAACTCACATTCTTTTCTTTCCACTCTCAAAAGGCCCACTTCCTGAGCAAGTACACGTTTTGATAAGGTCATTAATGGACAATATGATTCCTAGGTTTAATGAACGGTTTCTTTAGGGTGAAACAGAAGGATACAAAATCATTCTCTGTTTCTCTCTCTCTCATCTCTCAGATAAAATAACTTACCACCTACTAGTTACTAAGATCCCAATGGAACAAGAAATACAAATCCCAAACAGCACAAAGGCTAACTATGAATGCTCAGAATCATTTTTATCTTACTTTTACTTTTTACTGGCTTTCATTTTACGGACAAAGCCTCCCTTGCCAAAGGCAAGGTAAATAAACTCAGTCACATCCTGTCTTCCCTTACATCTTTGTTTATCCATAAACTGTCAGAAATACAGATGAAAATCCATTAAAGCATGCTTGAAGCAGCTACGGAAGGCCGAATGAGATGGGAGCAGGAAAGCCTGATGCTAGGGGAAGATAGTGCCTACAAGGACATCAATCTGGTTCCACGGAATGACATGAAAAAGAATTTAAGATACCAGCAAAAGATGAACAAATGGTACAGTTAAGAATGGACTTAATTCTGTAATAAGGCAACAATGAAAATAAAATACATGAACAGCACTGTGAGAATATAGTTAGTAGGAAAGTGATAAAACTTCGGCAATTTCAGAGTATAGACGTGGGAATGAGAGAGGAGTCGACACCTGGCTCCATCCCCTATCTTTTTACTTTTTAACTGAACAAGTCTGTCAGCCATGCTGAACCTCAGTTTCCTCATGTGTAAAATGGGATAAATTCATGCTTACTTTGGAGTATTACTTTTTGAAGATCTGATGAGATAAAATACATAAACGTACTTAATGTTTGGCTCAGATCTTCATTTAGAGTTCGCTCTTAGTTTTAATATGCTAGTAAGATGGTGATTCAGAGGTATGTAGCACATGACACTGCCCAAACCTCCCCACCAAGAGACCCTTTCATTCAAGAGCATCCTGTGAGTTTAATCTTTTTCTGTGGAAAACAATTTAGGAAATGCTGTCTTAAATAAAGGAAACTTAAGATTCTACAAGGTGAAGGAGTCTTGAATATCTTTGTTGAAAAGAAAGTTTTAAAGAGGTGCTTGTGGTTATTCCAGAAACATTTTGGTCATCAGCTTTTGGGTCAGGAATGCATCATAAATGTTATCCTTGTTTCTATGGAAAATGAGATTACATTTACATTATTAAAGAAAGACTCCCTGTCTGAACTGGTTGCTAGCTTTGCAAAGGAAAGTCTTCTTTTACACCCGTGTCTACCCTGCCCTGCTGCCAGGTCAGACTTTCCCCTTGTGTCCCATGAACATAGAAACCATCACGTACCCCTTGAGGAGGTACGTGAGCCTGGAAGAAGCATTCTGAGCCTCTCTGGAGAAGAGTAAACTGCATGCAAGGGTATGGGTATTTTATGACCTGTTATAGATGGATAATTCAAGGCACAGGCTCACAGCTTGATTTTTTTTTTTCCCAAAGCAAGGTAGCTTAGCAGTGGAACTCATTTTCCACAACTCCCAATGTGATTTTGCAATAAATCTGTGAATTTAATCAGCCTGCTCTGTTGAGGCAATCTCCCCTAATTGGGTTCTTGTAAGGGATAATGGACATGATGACAAAAATACTTCATCTCTGAAAAGGAAGCCAGTGTCTCATCAATAATATTGATAATAAAAATCCCATCCCCCCAAGAAATGGAGCACAGGCCTCTAGCACAACACTCAGCACCAGACTCAGGTAATATTTGTCTTTTAGACAGTCATTCTCTGTCTCCTTCATGGTAAACAGCAGGACAATGAAAATCTTGAAATAAAAAC